TAAGTAAGATTCTTGTAATTTTATTAATACAAGTGGACTCTCTGCTATGAATTACAAGGGACAAAAAATACGTTGTAGAGAGAATTTCGTGTTAGAGAACCATATGGCACAAAAAATAGCTTCTCTGTGCCGAGAAGATCGTCGCAGGAAAAGATCGTTGCATAGAGAGAAAGTCCACGTGTTCGTAAAGTACTTTGAAACATGTTTGAACTAAAATACCGTACCTACGTTTTTTTTTAACCTTTCGAAGCGTTTGAGTCAAATTCTTAACGGCTGATAAGACTTCCAGGCGATCAAGGGGTGTTGCGAATTTTCACGCCAGACTAAATTTCCCGTAGCTTGGTGCTCTTTTTGGGTGATTCTTATTCTGTCCACTTTTTTTTTCCTCCTTTCTGTAAGATACAGTCCAGTGATTTTGTCGCTTCAACATACAGTACAACCCAAAACGTTTCAATCATCTCCACGATAATTTCAGCATTGCCGATGCATAATCGCAGTGGACAGATAGACTTCAACGAGCGGTTCTACTGGACAGCGCCGAAGCAGATGCAAGACGAGTACAATGCGGCGCTGCTCAAGGGACTCCCGTACCCGCTGCTCACGGTGGCCGAGTACTTCGCCATGGACGCCGAGGGGTTCTGCTGGGGTCGCATGTACCGCCAGGCCGGGTACTATGCTCACATCATGCTCTGGTCAGCCCGACTTTTTATTTCTGCTTTGTCTTGTTTTGTTTTGGTTTTTAAGACTCCTCAAACTTCCCCCTAGTACATTATTTCATCATGTGCTATTCGTGAGCGTGCGTGGGAAAAAAATTAGTAAATAAAAAAATAAATAAATATTGGGACTCAGTTTTCACCATAATCCAATTTTTTAAAGACTGTTTCACATTCTCCGAACGATTTTTTCGGGGCTAAATTACGGTACTCCAAATTTCACCCCACAATGTTTTGTGAATCAGTTTTACTCACCAATAAATACATTTTAGATAAAACTGTAGGCTATTATTGTAATTCTTTTTAGTTGGCATGAATGTCTCATTTCTGAGCGTTTTTTATGACTGTGGTCTAAATATTTTCTCATGTCACATGTTCTTCGAGGTCTTCCGAACTCAGAATGAAAGATTCATCCCACAAAATTAGAGAATGAATAAAATACCTAATTTTATATATTTTCACGAAGAAACGGCGGAAATCGAGTGAAGCGATTAGCACTTCGAAAGGTCGAAGAAACGAAATCCTATTCTACCGATAACCGAACTCAAATTTATTTAATATTTATTCTCAATCGAATTCTATTCGAAAGGAAACAAAATGAGTTCACGAATTACAAAATAAACCCCGAGTATTCAATTTCAAATTTTCTTGATTGCTTCCTCCATAAACAGAAATGTTTGTCTTTCATTATTGATTGGTCTAACCACTTGCTGTCATGGCTACCGAGTTTAATCCTTTCCCAGGATCTGGCACTGAACAAATAAGATTTTTGGAATTTTATTTGTTAGTTTGAAACGAGTTTGAACTGGATAACTTTTTGCAATCTTCCGAATCGCTACTACGTTCAAGAGTACTTACTGACTATGCTAAAAACCCAGTACCCATAACGTCAGACTCGGCACTCTTTTATTAGAAAGTAGGACCGAGTTTCAACAGACGATAGAGACAGGACTCAGACAGTAATATTAAAGACAGAGTAATAAACGACGTCATCAACCCGTTGATGTTACCTAATACGAAACTGATGACGCTTTAAAAAAAAACCTTGAAGTATGACTCATCTTGAAGCGCGGGTAAGTATTTCTGAGCCTTGTGATTATTTTTAGAAAGGTTTAGTTAACGGCCAATACGAGCTGATGCCGAAAAGTTGAGCGAGTGCAAATGAGCTTATCTTAAAAGATTGCGAATCGAAAATAGCAGAACACACAAATTACGACCTGTGCCTGACATTATAGACTCAAACCCGCACAGTACTGTAGTTTATTTTAATTCTTTCGTAAATGATCCTTGTTGGCCGAGCTGTGTTAGTCACCTTTGAAATTTTCAAAAATACGTTTATTTTCCCACTTGAGTGAAAGTCATATTGTTGGCTCTTTTAAAACGTGATTTTTTTGCGCGATTAATCCGTCCAGCCAATTATTTTTACTTTGGATGATGGACCAGTGTAACTGGAAAACGGTTAAATTTGAATCCCCAACTGTGTTGCTTACACAAATTACGTCAATGTGTAACAAAACTTGATTTATTCCACGATGCCTTGTGTTACGTGGTATTTTTCGTCATGCTAAGTTCTATTTTTCTTGAGGCTTCGCAGTGAAGAATTTAAATTTGTATTAAGATGCAGTTGAAACTTAAAGCTTAAATTAAAAAATGGCATTCCTCAGAATAAAAAGGCAAAACAGTAAATACCTCTCCAATCATTCTTCGTCACTTTCATGGTTACAGTCAAATGACCTACATTGTTTATTCTTGTTATTTTTTTTTTGAGAGTGAGATGAAGTGCTCATCTTTTCATGTAAAATATATACTGTATATGCATATACAGTATATATAAAATGCATCAGTGAACCAAAACGTTTTCCTCCTTTTCTTGTCATAAATCACAGGATAGTATGGCTTAGTGAAAGCCATGAAATGTAATTTTACGAGTCCCGTAGTTCACGAGGAATTGTATACGCAAAACATGTTTTTTAATCATTTTCTCCAAATTTTCTTTAAAATAATTAAATTGTGTGCGTCTTTTAGTTGAGTCGAGACCATCTGATACCTAACAAAATGTTGTACCTACCTCAAGTCTGATAAAGTTGATGTCTTTGAAAGAAAAGTTATTGTATTTGTGTTTCATTGTTTTTTTTTCTTTGACTGTTCCCAGGGCTTCATTTGCGCTTTGGCTCCTGATGAACGTGTTCCTGTGCGTGGTGCCGCGATACGGGGCCTATATGATGTCCATGACGGGTTTTATGATGTTGTTCACGTGCCTGGTGTATCAGCACCTGCTGCCGAAACGGGTTCTGCGGATCCCATTCGACCCAGTGACTGGGTCACTTTTAGCATTCGACCTGGGCTGGTCATTCTGGCTTGTTTTAGTTGCAGGTTAGAAATCATTATTCCTCTTTTCCTCAGGGTCACGTTATGATACGCAATTTATTCTCTCTTTTTTTATTTTCTTGCGGGGGGTCAACGGTGTGACTGCAATTTGCTGCATTTCTTTCTTCCCATTCCGTTCTTTCACGCAATCACTATTTTTTCTCATCATCTTTTTTTTTTTTCTTCCCCGGCGTATTAAAGGCTGTTGCTGTGTGATAATCGGCGCCATAATTTCCGTGGTGGACCTTGTGTGGCCACACACGTTCTCCACGATCCTCGAGGTGGATTACGGAACGCCATTCGACCGCCATGTGATTATCGAGGACCAGAAGGACCGGCGCCACTAGTTCAAGGTTTATGGGTCCGATCTTCTTGGCGACGTTCTTCAGCCTAGTGCGTAAAATGCCAAGCACAGTTCAGGAAAACTCAGAGTAACAATTACTAGTCTTTTTCCCAACCACATACACTCAGTATCAGTCTTTTTGTTTTTTTCTGAGGGGACTTCATTTATTTTTTTGCGGAGTAAAATTTTCCATTGGAACTGTAATTCCGTGACGAGTGTTATTCAAACTTGCGTTCGCACGTTGTTGGGAATGGAGAGGAGAATCGACAGTTAATTTAAATTGCACCCTATTCCTGTTGAGCAGGTCATTTCATTGTACAGTATTTACTTGTCACCAGTTTCGTGTTTGCTGAATTTTTATTTTTTTTTTAGAAATCAGAGCGTTGAAAAATATTTGAGACGGTTCGTTGTCTTCTTATGAGCGAAATCCAATCTGTAGAAAGCATGTTTAACGGGGTTTTGTCTGATATCGGAGATATTTTCTGTGCTTAGTGATGCTGAATTTGAAGCGTACCTCGAATGTATTTTTTTTATAAAATTCTTCCAGGAAAATTTCAGCTTTTACCCGTGGTCAAGCAACATTTCCTCCAATAACAAATAGCTGAAAAATGTCTCGGTTGACGCGATTTATTTCCTTGAAATTACTATACTGCGTAAAATCCGCGTGCAGGTTATGAAACGTGTGCGAGTCTTTGTAGATTTTAATTTGTTGATCGGTTCCCTTGCATCATTATTCCTTTGTTTAATGTTGCTTTGAAGGGAGTGCAGTGTGTACAATAATTCGAAGCAAGTGTTAAAATTGCCGATGCATTAAAGCGGTTAATTTTAGCTCAAACACAGAATAATGCAGTAATTTTTTTTCGCCGTTCCCGGTTTTGTTTCAAAAATGTATTCTACGGTGTATTAATCTCCCTGTGATCCAATTTTCCAAGTCATTTTCATAATTTTTCTTCCCTCATTTCAGTTCGTCATCGTATTAATTTTTCCCGCAAGATTTTCTCCCGTGTAATTTTATTCGAGGTATGAAATTGGCTCTCATTGATGCAAATTTTCTCCCTCAGCGTTTTCTCGTGAGCATACTCAATTCCGGGAAAGCTCGCCCAGCACAAAAAATAAAACTGGTATTTCAAGTATATCTGCGATGTTAAAAAAAAAAAAAAAAGAAATTACTGCATAAAATCCAAGTACAGCTTTAAAAAAACGCGCGCGAATCTTGATGGGTTTTCATTTTTTGATTGGTTCCCTTCCATTATTATCATTCTTTGTTCAATGCTGCCCTGAAGAGATTACCATACAGTGTATAATTTTTGAAATCTAACTGGTATTTCAGGTATGTTCGCAATATAATATAAAAAGAAAGTTAATAACTTTACAAAACGCGTTAAAAGTCCGCTGACAGCTGAGCCAACAGAGCAGCGCCGTTGCTCTTGCTGCACAGCTTTTACGGCAGCCCGCTGCAGTGAGACCTGGGCCCCCTGGGACGACAAGCAGTGTCCCGAGGTCGCCAGCACTTGTCCCCACTGTCCCTGGACGGTAATCGACTCGGCGTGGACAACCAAGCATTCGACCGCTACGAAATGGATGCCCCCAAGTCCCCGTGGCGGTACCCGAACTACGAGAGCAGTCCGTTCATGGGCGGCGGCGGTGCGGCGGCGTCGTCGCGTCCGTTGCCGATCCCGACGAGCAGCAACCAGCAGCAACTCCTGAGTGCATCTGGAAGTCGGTTCAGGTCCACGTCACCCGTGCGACAGACGCCGTCGATTGCGTCGTCGGCCGCCACCAAGTCGCCCAAGTCGGTTTCCTTTCGGTATGCTTTATTATTTTTTCATTACTCTACTTCATTCCTCGATTTTCTAGAAAAATCTTAATGACGTAGAAAAAATGGTGGAGGGTAAGGTTTATTTTTATTTTGTTGAATGGTGAACGGTCTATATAGGCCCCGGTATTACCCGCGGAGTAGTGCTCTACTTAAAGAGTTTATTATTTGAGCCTGACAGAAGCTAAACCGAAACCTAACTTCCCTAATAAATATACATGTACATGACTTGACATTAGCTTACGAACTTTTATGATCGTCAAAAAAAATAGTGGAGTTTCTTTGGGAAATGTGGCTGCCAGGCTGATTTTCAAATGAATAATCTCTCCTCGTGGTGTTCTTCCTGATAGTGTTGAGAATTGTTCAACACATTTCCAACTGTTTATTTTTATTTTTCAAGGTTGTCTCACGTCAAACTTAACCTTAATTGTTTATTCATTCCGTATTGCTTTCATATTACCAATGAATTCGAGGGATTTTTTGGAAGCAACTGCATTAAATTACGCATTTTTGGACGACGTACTTCCGATCGGGAAGAATCAGGTCCACTATTCTGAGTAATGTACGGCTTTATTTTTTATTTTTTATCCTAAACGGTGAAAGGGAATTGACTTGCTGAATCGTTTTTTCAGAGAATCTTTTCTTCCTGATGGGGAAATTATTTAAATCGGGTCAATTTTCTGAAGGGAATTTTTGTTTATTACGTTGAGGAAGAGGGGTTTTAAAGATGATTATTCTAACGAATTACAGTATTTCTTACGAATTTCTTTATACACTAGCAAACATCAAACAGCATCTCATATGTTGAAAAGAAGATTGTCATAAAATTAATCTGTGGAAATACATTTTCTTTCGTGATGATGAATATTATTTCATCGGATGAATTTTCGAATGGTTAAAAAAAAAAAGTCGAATTACTGTGATTGAAAGGTTTTATTACAATTAGGCGGAATAATTTTTACTTCGTAATAAAATTCCTTCAAATTTCAACAAGAATCGTTGCCTTAAGGGAATGGTATTCAAATGACATGAAAACTATGTGATTTTTTATTTTTGCGTTTCAACGGAGTAAAATCTGACCTTCATTCTCGAAATAATTGAAAGTTTGTTTTAATAGTCTCGAAGAATTAAAATGATAATCGAGCACCGAGGGATTAATTGAAAATGCATCAACCGCCCAGTATATCCAGAAGTAAAATTCAGAATTTAAAAAAAGTTATTTGTTTCTGGAGCATGATTTATTTTGCTGTATTTCGATAGATTCCCAAAGGTTTATTATCTCACCTATGATTCGTTTCAGTTCACATGCTCTGGATTTTTCCTCAAATCTTTCACTGGCTGCCTGAATAATCAAACATTTGTAATGCATATATGCCGAAGCGTTTATTTCGTTCAGAAGAAAATAACGCCACACTTATAACGTAAGACACAATATCATTCCAAGGTTAATGCGTTACGAGTAATGTATGCACGCATATGGAATTTCCAGGATGAATGTTAAATCAAATAATTGGCGTTTCCATGCGCTATATGTTTTTGCCTTTCATCAATTAGACTTTCGGCTTTATTTTGTGATGCGGATTTTCGATAATCTTACGTCAAAGTACTATTAGCCGGCTAAAAGAAGTTTAAAAAAGCTAAAAGCACTCTGCCTCCACCGAGTCCCACTTTGTATGTCGCTCCAGTGACCCTTCTGCTTATCGACGACGAGCCCGACTGGGCAATGCGTGGCGGGTTTTCCCTGTGCAATTACGGTATTTCGCAAGGATTGTTATGTGTGAATATATATGTGTGAGTGTGTGTGTGTGTATCCTTTTTGCCAAGAACCCCCCCCCCCCCTCCCCAATTTCGGGAAAGGGGCATTCGAATTAATCCGGGATAAGTGCAGGTTACCCCGGACCTTGTACTGTCTCCTCAGAAACCCCAGAATCTTGAAGTTTTAGATTTTCAATAATTTTTTGAACTGCGATCTCCTTCATTCAAGTGTTGGCTTATCCGTGGCATTATCTTTGCCCTCTTTCTTTTTTTTTGTTACCCACAATTCCCTCACATTTTTAAAATCCTTCTTTGTTTGATAATTTACTGAGACGAGGTAGAAAGAGAGAAGAATATGTACTGTATTCTCACTGAAGTCTACGGGAAAACGTGATCCGACATGCGGACGTTCCGACATGGGAACAAGGTCCAAGCACCAATTATGTCCGCATATCGGGGCCCAACTGTATTTTGTAATTAAATTGTGACAATCTCACTCTATACCCATGCTGCATGAGTTTATTTGTTTGCGCTAATTTTGTGTCGCTTCTGAGTGGAACTAAACCTGCATGATCATCTCTTGGCATGCACTTTTTAAACTAATCTAAAAGTCTTTTTTTTAATGTGTTCATAAATCGTGTTTCATTACATATTTTTTTTCTTTTCTTCCTGTCACTCACTGTGGTTCAAGCAGAGGAGACCCAAAGCCAGACATGAAGTTGCGGGTGCTGGGCCAGAGAAGAGCCACTGACTCGGATAATTCCAGTGACGAAGGCAGCAACGTCATGTCGAATGTGGAGTCGGTGCCGTCGGGTCGACGAGACTCGTCGAGCGACGTTGACCTATAACTCAGGTCCATACTGCAGCAGGCGTAGGTCCTAATGCTGCTGTACGTCGTTGCTAGCGGCTCGTCGAGCTCCAAAATAGGGACTGATTTAGTAGTACCAAAGACGAAAATAAAATATTTTTTTTTTGGGGAAATGATTTTAGCATGGCTTAAACTTTGTCGCGAGAATTTCGTAGAACAGGGATTTCTCAACTGAATTTCTCCGAGGAGCCACTGGTGATACGCAGGCACCTGCTGTGAGGTTTTATCCCAAATTAAATCACGATGGTTTCTGACAATTTTTTTTTTTGGGAAATAATTTTAGCATGCTTAAAATTCTGTCGTGGTTATTCCGTAGAACAGGGGTTCTCTGCAGAATTCCTCCGAAAAATTACTGGTATTACGCAGACACGAGTGAAGTTTCATCCCAGATTAAATCACGATGATATCTGCTTTTTTACTGTTGAAATAATTTTAGCATGCTTAAATTTTTTCACGATAATTCCAAAACACGGGGATTCTCAATTTTCAAGAGAGATGCAGGCTTCCCAATTTGAGTTTAATTTGTAAAAATTGATAGCTTTTGAATGATTTCAAATGATTTCGGCAGGTTTAAACTTTTTCGCGCTCATCACATAAAAGTGGACTTTCCACCCGAATTCCTCTTTCGCACCACTGGTGATGACAATCGGACATGCATTAGATTTTGTGCATAATTTATGCATATTTTTACGACAGATATTCAGGCGTTTCAATTTTGAGCTAATTGGTAAAACAACCATAGGAATATATTGAAGGAAGGTACAATACTGTATTCGTGATCGAAATGGTTGAGAACCTCTGTCATAAAGAGATTGGCGTGGATTTTTAAAGATGCTTTATATAATTTTTTGCACAAACAAGCTTCTTTTCTTTTAGGTGTAAAACCAACATTTTTTTTTTATCTGCGCTGTTCAACAAATGCCATGTTTCTCGAAAATAAGACTCATCCAAAAACATTTTTTGCGTTTTCTGAGACACCTTGAATAAGCGCAATATTTCAAAAATGACATTATAGAAATGTAATGAGATGTGTATCTCGACTGGGAACGCGAATGAATGCTTAATCTACAATAACAACGACGGTTGGCCTGGTTTCCGGGAAACACGGTAGAAAAGCTGTTCTCCTTTTTCACATGCCGCTTGAAATCTCTGCAGATTAAACGCTGATTTTGCTTGGGAGATGGTCTGCTTTCCGAAAATATACCTTTTCATGAAAAAATTACACATCATAACATAAGCCGCGAAATTCATAGACACATCCTTCAATATGAACCCTAGCTGATAATAAATATCGTTGACAGTTACCCCTAGACTTGACTTTATTTGATTCCCGTACATGTTGTCATTTCAAAATTCATGACGTGAAATATTGGGATTGTTAGTTGCGCAAAAGTTGAATTGTCTGGGAACTTCCAGGATTTTAACCTCAAGCCCAGATTCGAAAGCGGCAAAATTTTTGGTTGTAAATTGGAAAAATTTCTCTAAGCTTCCGGAACCCATAAAAAAAAATAATGCATAAATAAAATAAATAAAATATCAATTTAATAAAATAATGCTCAATTATATAATGATAAATAATGATATATAATTATATAATGCATCAATAAAATAATGATCTGCAAAAATAATGCATCCTAGCCTTGAAACTAGTCGAAAAGCTGGATTATGCAAATATAAGTATCATTTGATTTCCTACAAAGTGACTCTGAAAATGCATGTGCGGCCTATAATCAATCGTAGGCGGCATGTCAATATCACGTATGTGCAGTATAATGTGTGTATTCAATAAAATTGAATTATTAATTGAAATAGTTTTACACTGGCTCAAGTGCCACACAGAATGCGATGGTTAGACCAATTACGCGAGGCATTAAATATGTCCAAGCGTTTGTAAAAATGTATGGAAAAATACGCCCAAATTTGTCTCGAGATGTTTGCAGGAATCTGGTATTTTTCAAGATTTCCAACACATTATTTTTAAATACACTGCATGGTGAGAACCGAAAAATGTTCCGTGACGGCTAGAGTTCTCCACTCATTTCAGTGTGGTTGAAATTTGTTGAGAGTTCCTCCGCTAATGTTAATTTTTTTTATCCTCATCTTTTTTTTTTTTAAATCGGAAATTGCAGATTTATGTCTGTGCAATAACTTCTTCCGCATTTCTCTCGAAAATTTTCCAACTGTTCACGCTGTTTTTGCACGTACCCTGAAATTGCAGCTCAGAATTTTTCGGCGCTGCAATTGAGCATGAAATCGCTTTTGCTTGGTCTAAATTGACGAGGGAATAATAATTGCCTCTCTGTCAATTATCTTCTGCTCAATATACAGCTTTGCATCTTCAGCTCAAGGTTCTTTTTTTTTTTTTTTTTTCAGTTGAACCTCGGTAACTCGAACCTCTCTAGCAACTGGATATTGAGTCCAGGTATGACGTCGTCCGCATCCAGGATTACGACGACATGCAGCAACGATCGCCGAGCAGCTCGAGGTTTTATCCCTGACTAAATCATCATGGTTTCTGCTTTTATTTTATTTTTTTTTTGGGGAAATGATTTTAGCGTGGCTTAAACTTTGTCACGAGAATTTCGTAGAACAGGAATTTCTCAACTGAATTTCTCCGAGGAGCCACTGGTGATACGCAGGCACCTGCTGTGAGGTTTTATCCCAAATTAAATCACGATGGTTTCTGACAATTTTTTTTTTTTTGGGAAATAATTTTAGCATGCTTAAAGTTCTGTCGTGGTTATTCCGTAGAACAGGGGTTCTCTACAGAATTCCTCCGAAAAATTACTGGTAAGACGCAGACATGAGTGAAGTTTCAACCCAGATTAAATCACGATGGCATCTGCTTTTTTACTGTTGAAATAATTTTAGTATGCCTAAATTTTGTCACGATAATTCCATAAAACAGGAATTCTCAGGAATAGTAATGTTAATGTCCGCTAATGTTAATTTTTTTCCTCATCTTTTTTTTTAAATCGGAAATTGCAGATTTATGTCTGTGCAATAACTTCCGCATTTCTCTCGAAAATTTTCCAACTTTTCACGCTGTTTGCACGTACCCTGAAATTGCAGCTCAGAATTTTTCGGCGCTGCATTTGAGCATGAAATCGCTTTTGCTTGGTCTAAATTGACGAGGGAATAATAATTGCCTCTCTGTCAATTATCTTCTGCTCAATATACAGCTTTGCATCTTCAGCTTATTATTTTTTTTCATCAGTTGAACCTCGGTAACTCGAACCTCTCGGAGTCGAATACCTCCCTATATAAGTCAAAATTTTAACAAGTCCTTGTCGGAAGTCCCTTAGAAGCAATGCATTTAGAACCTCTCTTTGAATGGAAGGCTTTTCATTTCAAACCTTGGTAGCTCGAATTTTCTGGAGACCTCTTGGCTATTAATTTTGTTTACACTGGCAGGAGAAAAGCAATAAAAAGTGACTTGATTTGTTTTGAAGGGATAAGTGAAAGACTAATTGCTGGGCAAATGAACCCTTGCCTCCAAGTTCAGCATCTTGTCACTTCAAGGCCCAAATATCCTGTAATTCTTTAATCTTTTCCACAACGAAACTACTTGTTTCCCTAACTCGAAACCTCCCTATACCGTAATTCGATTTTTTTTATGGTTCTTTGAAATTCGAATTTTATGGAGAGGTTCGACTGATACGTATCGTACCTTGTGTGCCGTTTTTACCTTTCCATTCCAGTCACAGTATTTAATCTTTTCTTTTTTTTTTTTTTCTTGCTCAGAAGAGGAAGTGCTGCGGAGTCGGTGTCTGACGCGGGCAGCAAGCATCAGCACGCCCAAGTGCGCAAAATGAGCAGCAACTCCACGAGGATCGAGATGGACTTTGAGGACGAAGACGCGGATCAGGTCGGCGAGTTGGCTGGCTACAGACCCGGCGAACACCGCAAGGAAAGCGACAAGTCCGTGGCGTCCTCCGTGCTCGGACTCGCTCTCATGGACTCGTGGCAGTCCCACGGCGGCGGCGGCGGCGCCCTCGGTGGTGCCGCTGCTGGCGGCAGTGTGAAGAACCGCAAGAAGGCCAGCATAGCCAGCACCGGCAGCACGTCGAGTCGGGCGCCGCGGTTCGTGTTGCAGCCGGACGAGGACGAAGACCCTGTGCCTCTGGCCACGGCCTGTTCCCCGACGCACATCGTTTTCAGTCGGCCCGGCGACTCCAGACGGTTGGGAGATCATATTGAATTATTATTACCGTAATTACTTCGAGTACGATCATGCGCACACTTGATACTGTACCTGGTACTTCAATTTCTGGGAAAGAGGTGCGCATCGTACCTTATAAGAAGGTCAAAAACTTCCGTAATTCAAATTTACAGTGAATCCCTGGCCACTTTCCTCAAGACCAATGAATTCAAATTGAGTGAATTGACCTTCCTAACTCAAACCTTTTTGGATATAATCCAGAGTATTCAAGGGCTTTTTTGTTTAATATAAGGGCTGAATCTAAAACTTTTTTCTCACAAGAGAACAGATGAATATGTTTTTATTGCTTGTTTTAGAAAGGAATAGGGTGCTTCCTGCGAGTATAGGACATCTCCGAAAATGAACAAATGAACACTTTTAAATTATTAGGCGTTGCATCTTGGGTTAATACATTGGTATTTATTTTTTCTTGAGTTGTTGATTACGCCTACTGTTTTTGGGTAATACATTTTGCCTAACTTTGTAGTTTCATCTACGATTTCTTTGGTAATTAAATATTCGTAGCGTTCCTGAAGTACTGCTGTACATATACCACGTCTTTTCAATTTTAAAGTAATCAATACTGGTGTGATGTTTTTTTTGGAATCAATTTCGATTACTATTTCTAAGATCATTACTTATTCTTGATGTTTATTGTCGGGTATTAAATTCGAATTAATTGTTTTAATTATTTCTTTTTTTCTATAAGGAATTAGTCACGTTTAATGTATTTGGGTGACGAATTAATCATAAACTTTCTTAATATTTCGTATTTTTATTTCTGAGATGATTGATAACTTTTTGTGTTTCTCATGGAATTAATTCGTGTTACTATTTCAGCAGCAGTTCAGGTTTTTAAGGAAATTTTCATTCTTGGCGTTATTATGAATTTATGATTAAGCCGAAATAGTCTCCAGACGATTAATTCGTCTTTTTTCGTAGGCAATTAATCCCTCGATGTTTCTCTGGTGAATAATTAGTGTGACTGTTTTTTTTTAGGTCATCGAGAGCACTTGAAGAGATCGAAGTGAAGCCGATTCCGCAGGTCGACGTGCACGCTGCAGAAGACGATGACGATTGGTGAAGCCCTCGGGCAACGATGCAATGCGGACAAAACCCATGCCGTTGGAATATCGTTGCACGGCTGCATTATTTATAGGACAAAGAAGCAAAGCCTTTCAAAAAATTTTGAAACACGCTGTGTTTTGTTGAGGACTCATACCGCATTTTTAAACCTTTTTTTTTTTTTCCTGTCTTTTGGTTTGACGCATTCCTGCCGTGAGATGTTAACCAAGTCAACGCAAGCAGCTTCCACTGGTCGATTCGGTTCTGCCGAGTGAACGCTTATAAACGAGAAGCTCATTTTTACTTTGTGCATGGGTGTGTATATGACGAGAAACATGATCTGATTCGAATTTCAGTGGATTCAAGTACAATTTAGAAAATGTTGACGACGGTTCTTTCTTTTTTTGCTTCTTCAAATAATCGATATCCTCTGAAACGGCTTCGAAAAAATTTAATCCATATTATGATGGCTTCCTTATTGAAAATACCTCGGAGTGAAAATCCCGCGATAAGTGAAAACGTAAAAATAAGAATTGTAGCTTCGAAAATGGAAGTGCAGTACAGTACATAAAGTAAAATATTGTAAAATATTTTTTCTTGGCATTTGGAAGTGCGGTGTACATTCTTACGGAAACATTGTCAAGTTCTTTTTAACTTTCTGTAATTTTTTCTCCACGCCAAGAATCTTCGAATTTAGCTTGCATATGCAAAACCTGCTGACGGAGGCTTCCACAAGAAAATTTCAAACGTTGTACAGTGTTATAATTGACTTTTGATGACGCAATCTTTGAAAACGGGAAACAAATTTCAAAGTCTTCGTGGAGTACGTTGCTTCAGAATATTTTGCTACAGCTGCGAGATTTTCTCTCCGCGGCCAACCTTCACCAAATGTCCATTGAAGAAAAAGACAAAATATGTGAACAAAGTAACAGCATTTGAATTTGTTATTAAGTAGCCAATTTATGTTAGTTATCCCGAGTTTTTGCCCGACTGAAGACACGAGGGTGACAAAAGTGATTTCCGTGATTTTTTTTGTTCCACCGAGTTGACATGCGCCGATGCTTGAAAAGTTTGCTTTGAACAATTTTTTGTTACTCCTCCTCAAAAAAGGATTTTATGAAAGGTCTTTTTTTGAATGAATCTTCCTCGGTTTATTTTGTTTGGTGGCAACTGGTTGGGCATTATGAATCGCGAACGCGGAAGAACTCTTGCGTTGACAAGGATCGATTGATTGATTTAGCGGCAGCAATTTTTTTGTAAGGTTATGAGTCTGATTTGTTTGTGACGAAAAATGGAACAAACCCGTTTTTTGATGCCATTGGACGCGTGAATCGGAGAGTGGGGAAAAAAACATAAGCTGCCTGTGTAATCTCGTCATTAGGTTTCCAATAAGAAACTCAAGGAGGCTGGGCGTGTAGAACCTTTTGATTTCTCCGTGATTTTCAGAGCAATTTTGTCACTGCCCGAAAAAAAGAAAAATAGAGAAGAAATAACGATACAGAGGGTTTATCTTCATGTATGCCCAAGTCTTTCTGATATGGTTTGACGGATGTGCGCGTGACGTTGAAGATATTTTTTGTCAGACGCGGAACTTCTATTTTTTGTCGGTAAACCAAAGGGCTTTTTTGCCAGATCGTCCGCGAATCTTTCAGAATCCGAGGACTTGTGTAATTAGGTTGTCCTGGTAAGTTCCTCCTTGGATTTACCATTGCGGACCGGTGTGGTGTATTTTTTTTCTGAATCCGTCAGTCTTTCAAACCTCCGTCTCGAGACCATTAAATTTGGACTTGGCCGGAGTTACAGATAATAAAATGCAACAAACTCGCAGCCGTCGTGTTGTGAAAGGGGATTGCGTATTTTGTGAACTGTTGGACTTGAAAGCCTCTATGTGCAGGGCATTTGCGCTATTAGTGACTTATTATCTTTTTTGAGTTTGTGTATGAATGCAGCTGTCAGACGGGACTTCTTTGAATTCAAGAAAAATTAATAAAAGAAAGCTGGAAAAATCTGTCCGGATTTTTTTCTGTAAAAAAAAATGTAGATTCTGGACTTGCCTTCCATAAATTCCCATAAATGGTGCGTAACATCATACAATTTTATGGGTTGTGGAAGAAAAATAAAATTATATTGCAGGGTTACCCTAACGTCTTGTGGAACTGGTACAAAAATCCTGCTATACTACCCCTGATGAATCATGTGTCATTAATTGATTAACCCATCTTATCACGCATGATCCATCACTGGTCCTAATTGTTTATTATTTATTATTTGCTGGGACTCCCTCAACAACAGAGTTTGTAAAAAAAAAATTTCTCAGGAAAATTTTCGCATTTTTTTAGCAAAGCTCTTTTATCCAGGCAGAGAGTCGAAATGCTATAAATTATAATTCTTCCCTTCACACATATAGCGAGGTAAAATCTCCAGTTTTAGTTTTAAATTGTCTATGTACAGTACTATTGAAGCAAGATATTTATTTTGAGATTGGTGTAGTCGATGTAAGTTTAAATAATATATGCACGAAAATTAGATGCAGTATTTTTATTATAATATTGAAAATGTTTTATAGTACAGTGCTGTACAGGTAATGTATTGTACTATCACAATACCTATCATATGACAAAAGGATTTAAATCATGCATTAAATTGAGAACATGGGAACAAGTACTGAATCTGCACTTTCCAATCATTAAAAAAATCCTTTAAAAGATATTTCAGCGCTCAGCAAATCTGAAAGCAATTTATATGCGTTCCAATCAATATCTCGCGCATTTTATACATAGATCAAAGCATATGCAGTGAAGGATATTTTTCAATGATGGAGTGCTGTACAGTATTTCCATTTACGGGAATAGTGCATTGAAGAAACAATTGATTCGTTTATTTCAAGAGAAAGTTCATTCCCGGTATTTCAAACTTTAGTTTGTAAAATTAATTTCCCATAATCAGTTACATGCTCAGGCAAAGGAAGCACGAATACCATTTACTGTACTGTACTGTACTCCCATATGACACAAACATCGGATATAACGACTGGAACACCTGTTCCAGGGGCGAAAGGTACGCCTGCTCGGTGTGTAAATAAAACATGTCTGCGGCCATCTGTAGCTCCTTCTGCGCGAGGCGAACGGTTTGCGCGTGAGTGAGCTTCAACTGGATTAGGCAGTGGGGGCTGTTTTGGCTTCTGTGGATATATTTTCGTGTGTGTCCGGAATGATTTCGGGTCATATTGATAACCGACGATTTTTTAATACTTTGGTCATCTCACGCATGGAGAATCATACATTTGAGCGCGCGTTATTTTTCTATTTCCCGTAGGACCACGTCGCACCTGTTCCTTCAGTGATTGATATTCCTTGAATTGGTGATCCACCGGTGCTTGTTATATCGTGAATCCTTTCTTGTTGACGTAAAAATGGTGGAAAGCGGGACTGCAACGGTGACGGTGTCTAGAGGAGATGGCATTCAGTTGAACGTAGCCCACTTCAAGTCTATCCCGGGCATCCTGAAACTTGTTCATTTGTTTTTGGGAATTATATGCATGGCATGCGGTTCTCCAGCGTACATTTACTGTAATGCGTAAAATTTTACGTGTGGAATAATGCAGGATGTGAAAGACTCTCTCCGTCTGCATTCGTCGTAATTGAATGAGGATTGACGTTCATGTATTTTGACAAATCATGTCTTTCCTTGGTTTCAGGTCTGTAAAATTTTGGCTTTACGTTGAGAAAGCTGCAATACATTCAAAACTTCCGGTGCATGTTGCGCGAATTACAGTGCCCTTCCTAGGTTATGCTCCCTATTTTTTCAATTTGTTACAGTTCAATCATGATCCCCGTGTGAATTTTAATTTGATTTATCCGACAAATTTGATCGTATTCGAAGCATACGAGCGCCGTATTCTATTCTGCCAAGATGTCCCGAAGAGCTTTCTTCGGAAAGCTGTGTGGATCTCTAGGAGTTGGAGGAAGCTTAGTATGTTACGGAACTTGGCGTTTGTGGACGGATGACCGAATAAAGGTACAGTATCCTTTCATCCTGTTCACTAAGAGCATATGAGCACGACAAATTGATTTTCAGAGTCTTCCGAGTGTGATTGCCGAACATGAATTGAACGAGCGACGGATCGAGCCATTGAGAAGTAGGAGAGAACAACTGTTGTCACTGAGAACAGACAAGTTTGATGTTCTTGTTATTGGCGGTGGCGCAACTGGCTGTGGAGTTGCATTGGATGCCGTTTCTCGAGGTTTTACTTCAATTATTTACAGTACTGTATTTGCATTAATATCCTTCCATCGTATTTACGCAGATGTAAGTCTCACTTGATTTTGGGAATTATTCCCTGAAAGAACTTAGTTGTGTTTGCTCGAAATGTACAAGTACACTACTGCACTTCGGAAGCCACACTTCATCACTTCTGTCTCTCCTTTGTAAACTTCATTCAAGTTGAACGTATTTTCTGTAAATCAACCAAAATTACAATTGACTCAGGCCAAAATCTCATACAGTATTTGAACGAAGGCTGCAATCGAGACTTTTCAAACCATGGGTGCTCAACAGTAGATCCTCCAATATTGAACTCGAATTTCTGGAATGTTAACAAAGCATGCACAGTAGGATTAATTTGATTATATGCCGCATTTCCTTCGAAACGTTTGCAATTTATTTTTACTTCTGCGGACTTGAGCTGAAATCATCACCCAAAATGGGTTCGACCTGTACTTGCCTAAATATGGTAGCATTTCACAGGACTCAAGACTGCGCTGGTGGAGATGGATGATTTCTCCGCTGGTACATCCAGTCGTAGCACTAAACTCATTCATGGAGGTGTGCGTTACTTGGAGAAGGCAGTCTTCGGGTTGGATATCGAGCAATACAAGATTGTGAAGGAAGCTTTATTTGAACGGGCGAATTTATTAGCGATTGCTCCTCATCTCGCTTATCCTTTGCCGATTATGTTGCCTGTCTATCGGTAAGCAAACTTCGATTTCCAACTGATCCGTTAGTTCTCCACTTCACTGCGTTTCGGTTACATTGAGTGACTCACGAACTAAGATACCCACAATTACAATAACTGTACTTAAAATTTTCGAGAAGGAATAGAAGATACGTACAGTACTCTTAAATTTGTTGAAGAAAGGTGGGCTGGTCTTTTCGTCCTTTCAGGGCAAATTCAGATTTATTCAATACTTTCGCAGAATGATGAAAATAATTTTTTCGAGGAATCCACTGTTTCCATCATCTGTTTCATTTTGATCAACAATGATGGTTGTCTTGAGTATGACACGTATCTCTTCCCATTTGTGAGGCACCGGCTAACATTCGTAATCCAAACAGGACACGGATTTTCTATCTCCTTTCTCAAGGTCGCAGCTCTTGTTTAAATTTTAACGAAGGAAAAGGATTTTTCCCTTTGTTCGTATTTGTTCGGAACTGAACAAATTTTCATGTTTTTTCGGCTCAGTAGCGTCAGTACCGCACAAAAATAACCGAAGAAAACGCATCTCAGTAGAGTGGGTGCGCACAAATCACGATAACATAAGCTAATTCAAAATTAACTAACCCGAATACATGTGACCCATATTTAATTTATAATCTCCTCTGATCCAAACTTATTTCTATGCACAGCTTTTGGCAAGTCCCATACTTCTGGGCCGGGATAAAAGCGTATGACTTCGTCGCCGGATCCCAGCTCTTGAAGCCATCTTACTTCATCGGAAAGAAAAAGGAACGGTGACGGTGTCTAGAGGAGATGGCATTCAGTTGAACGTAGCCCACTTCAAGTCTATCCCGGGCATCCTGAAACTTGTTCATTTGTTTTTGGGAATTATATGCATGGCATGCGGTTCTCCAGCGTTTTATTCAGCTCAGCACTTCTTCCTGTTCGTTGCCGTTTCTGCCTTCATTCTTTCCATGGTATGTTGTTCAACTGAGGCATTCTTTCCTCGAATCTGGGTTCATCCAATATGTTCGCAGGTTTGGGCGATTGTCCATCTACTTTCGCTGCGCACTGCGCTGAATTTGCCCATCAATTGGGTGCTTTCTGAATTACTGTTTTTGGCTGGAACGACAGTCATGTACATCATTGCAAGTATTGTGCAGTTGGCGTCTGTATACTCCTCATTCTATGTTGCATCGGGAGTATTCGGACTGTTCAACTCAATTGCTTACGGAGTCGCTGCGTATCTGCTGTATAAGGAATGGAACGGGACCGTAGTGACTACGAATGTTGTGACGACAGCTTGAAGTGCTGCCGTACAATTGCATCTTTTTGATTCATCGTCCCAGGCGACATTTAACTCTGTGTTCATTCGCTAATATGCCAGGCGGGGCTTAATACCATCCATATATATTGATGCTTCTGGCTGTCATTGTTGTGACTACGAGTCATGTGCCTTACCAGTTTCACATACGTGCCAGCGAATAGGAAAGTGAGCGTGAATTTTTTCGGTTGTAATTTTTCGTATGTTGTGCGCTCTCTTCCGAATCAACGGAGTGCCAAATCTGCCGCAGAAATGTGGATTTTCTTCCTGAAGTCCGACACGCTAACGCTGTCACATTGATATTTATCGTTCGCGTAACAAGGCGAGTTGTGTCAAAGCACAGAACAGTTGTGAAGAAGTAATCATGCCTTCCTTTTTTATCTCGTATTTTTATGCGAAGCTTCATTAATATACCCGTACTCCCACGTTTACTAAACTGGGATCACGTATTTGTTACGAATGATCGTTTTTTTTGTTGTTGCATCGATTCACTTGCGCGTGATCTTTGCATTTACTGTAATGCGTAAAATTTTACGTGTGGAATAATGCAGGATGTGAAAGACTCTCTCCGTCTGCATTCGTCGTAATTGAATGAGGATTGACGTTCATGTATTTTGACAAATCATGTCTTTCCTGGGTTTCAGGTCTGTAAAATTTTGGCTTTACGTTGAGAAAGCTGCGATACATTCAAAACTTCCGGTGCATGTTGCGCGAATTACAGTGCCCTTCCTAGGTTATGCTCTCTATTTGTTCAATTTGTTACAGTTCACTCATGATCCCCGTGTGAATTTTAATTTGATTTATCCGACAAATTTGATCGTATTCGAAGCATACGAGCGCCGTATTCTATTCTGCCGAGATGTCCCGAAGAGCTTTCTTCGGAAAGCTGTGTGGATCTCTAGGAGTTGGAGGAAGCTTAGTATGTTACGGAACTTGGCGTTTGTGGACGGATGACAGAATAAAGGTACAGTATCCTTTCATCCTGTTCACTAAGAGCAAATGAGCACGACAAATTGATTTTCAGAGTCTTCCGAGTGTGATTGCCGAACATGAATTGAACGAGCGACGGATCGAGCCATTGAGAAGTAGGAGAGAACAACTGTTGTCACTGAGAACAGACAAGTTTGATGTTCTTGTTATTGGCGGTGGCGCAACTGGCTGTGGAGTTGCATTGGATGCCGTTTCTCGAGGTTATACTTCAATTATTTACTGTACTGTATTTGCATTAATATCCTTCCATCGTATTTACGCAGATGTAAGTCTCACTTGATTTTGGGAATTATTCCCTGAAAGAACTTAGGTGTGTTTGCTCGAAATGTACAAGTACACTACTGTACTTCGGAAGCCACACTTCATCACTTCTGTCTCTCCTTTGTAAACTTCTTTCAAGTTGAACGTACTTTCTGTAAATCAACCAAAATTACAATTGACTCAGGCCAAAAGCTCATATTTGAACGAAGGCTGCAATCGAGACTTTTCAAACCATGGGTGCTCAACAGTAGATCCTCCAATATTGAACTCGAATTTCTGGAATTTTAACAAAGCATGCACAGTAGGATTAATTTGATTTTATGCCGCATTTCCTTCGAAACGTTTGCAATTTATTTTTACTTCTGCGGACTTGAGCTGAAATCATCACCCAAAAGCGGGTTCGACCTGTACTTGCCTAAATATGGTAGCATTTCACAGGACTCAAGACTGCGCTGGTGGAGATGGATGATTTCTCCGCTGGTACATCCAGTCGTAGCACGAAACTCATTCATGGAGGTGTGCGTTACTTGGAGAAGGCAGTCTTCGGCTTGGATATCGAGCAATACAAGATTGTGAAGGAAGCTTTATTTGAACGGGCGAATTTATTAGCGATTGCTCCTCATCTCGCTTATCCTTTGCCGATTATGTTGCCTGTCTATCGGTAAGCAAACTTCGATTTCCAACTGACTAGTTCTCCACTTCACTGCGTTTCGGTTGCATTGAGTGACTCACGAACTAAGATACCCACAATTACAATACTATACTGTACTTAAAATTTTCGGGAAGGAATGGAAGATACGTACAGTACTCTTAAATGTGTTGAAGAAAGGTGGGCTGGTCTTTTCGTCCTTTCAGGGCAAATTCAGATTTATTCAATACTTTCGCAGAATGATGAAAATACTTTTTTCGAGGAATCCACTGTTTCCGTCATCTGTTTCATTTTGATCAACAATGATGGTTGTCTTGAGTATGACACGTATCTCTTCCCATTTGGGAGGCACTGGCTAACATTCGTAATCCAAACAGGACACGGATTTTCTATCTCCTTTCTCAAGGTCGCAGCTCTTGTTTAAATTTTAACAAAGGAAAAGATTTTTCCCTTTGTTCGTATGTGTTCGGAACTGGACGAATTTTCATGTTTTTTCGGCTTAGTAGCGTCAGTACCGCACAAAAAAACCGAAGAAAACGCATCTCAGTAGAGCGGGTGCGCACAAATCACGATAACATAAGCTAATTCGAAATTAACTAACCCAAATACATGTGACCCATATTTAATTTATAATCTCCTTTGATCCAAACTTATTTCTATGCACAGCTTTTGGCAAGTCCCATACTTCTGGGCCGGGATAAAAGCGTATGACTTCGTCGCCGGATCCCAGCTCTTGAAGCCATCTTACTTCATCGGAAAGAAAAAGGCGTTGGAACGTTTTCCGATGCTTAAAACAAATTCTCTCGTGGGGGCCCTGATTTATTACGATGGCGCGCACAATGACGCGAGAATGAACATCGCAATCGCAATAACAGCTGCGCGTTTAGGAGTTAGCATAGCCAACCACGCGTCGGCCAGTAAATTAATCAAGGATAAAGAGGGTAAAGTCTGTGGCGCAGTCATCAAAGACGAATTGAGTGGTGAAGAATTTTGCGTCATGGCCAAGTGTGTTGTGAACGCAACCGGCCCATTTTCCGACGACGTGCGCAAGATGGACGATCCAGACGTGGCCACCATTGTGAAGCCGAGCATGGGCGTCCACATCACATTGCCGGACTATTACAGCCCTGCAGAAATGGGTTTACTAGATCCATCCACGAAAGATGGTCGAGTGATCTTCTTTCTTCCTTGGGAAAAGCACACGATCGCTGGCACGACGGATACGCCTTGTCCTATAACACACCATCCTTCACCGACCGAGGACGATATTCAGTTTATTCTTGCTGAAATCAGACACTATTTAAGTCCTGATGTGGATGTGAGGAGAGGCGATGTGCTGTCCGCCTGGAGTGGTATTCGGCCTTTGGTTAGCGATCCGTCGAAAACTAACACGCAGTCTATTGCCAGAAATCACATCGTTCACGTCAGCGATTCCGGCCTTGTTACGGTTGCTGGTGGCAAATGGACGACGTATCGGGCAATGGCGGAAGATACTATTACGAAGGCTGTCGAAGGTTAGTTGCTCAATTCTGTCCTTGGAAAGTCCGTGAGTGGAGTAAATCCCGTATNACGTCAGCGATTCCGGCCTTGTTACGGTTGCTGGTGGCAAATGGACGACGTATCGGGCAATGGCGGAAGATACTATTACGAAGGCTGTCGAAGGTTAGTTGCTCAATTCTGTCCTTGGAAAGTCCGTGAGTGGAGTAAATCCCGTATCACAGTGACCCCTGCAGAAGGACGAGGATATTCGGTCGTATCTCATTGGCCGTCAATTGACGCATTGCCGTCCTGGGTTAAGTTTTCATTGATGAGGCTTATCGTTCCATATTTTGCAGAATGCAACTTGAAACCAATCAGTGCTTCGAGGACGGCTGGTCTTCTGCTTGAAGGAGCCCACTTCTGGACTCCTACGCTTTTTATCCGCCTTGTCCAGGATTTCGGCCTCGAAACGGAGGTTGCGCAACATCTCTCCAACACTTATGGTGACAGAGCGCTTTCAGTCGCTAAAATGGCGTCATTGACTGGAAAAAGATGGCCTGTTGTCGGTCGTCGTATTCACGAAGATTTCCCGTACATTGACGCGGAGGTTTGTCTATAATACCGTCGATATTTTCTGTTGGTGCTGAGATGGAAATGCCGCTAAAGAAAAAATTCAATCTGGAAATTTTAAAATTTCCGGATTCAAAAGAGCTGTTCTGTTTAAATTATTTACAATAATAGCTGAACTTCTCCTTCAGCGATGAGGGAGCGACGAAAATAAATATTATAGAGATTTGGTGGAGTCTTCTTGAACCATAAGAAAACGCATCGTTTAAAAAATGTCTTTGGAAACAAACTCGTTGCTGAGAGAGACCACCTGTTTCATTGTTTCGTTTCTCTTGGAATAATGTTTTCTATTATATGTATAAACTGCTTTCATAGCACGGTCATTGTTAAACCCAGTTTTGAGTGACTAGCTGAAAAACAGAAAGCCTGCTCTTTTATTTTAATAAACATCTGATTCACTAGACCCAGTTTTACTTTAGTTTTGCTCGCACCAGTAGTGTACATATCGTGGAAAGTTCATTTCATTTTACTGCACTTACTGATACACTTTTTCCCAATTTTATTAATTTTTAACCAGGTTCGTTACGCGGTTCGTGAATATGCGTGCACTGCAGTCGACGTAATTGGACGCCGCTTGCGACTAGCTTTTCTGAATGTTCAAGCCGCAGAGGAGTGTCTACCTCGTGTGATTGATATAATGGCCGAGGAACTTAACTGGAACGCTGCCGAAAAAAAGGTGCGAATCTTTCGATCGCCTTACAGTATTTTCTCTCAATATTTTATTTCAATTTTTTTTTCAGAAACAATTTGAACAAGCGAAGGAGTTCTTGGATTCAGAGATGGGAGGAAACATGAACAAGGAAAGTCGTGAGAAAGTGTCGATTAATTTGACGAAGGAAGATATGAGCAAGTACATCAAACGATTTCAGCAGTTGGACAAGGAGAACAAAGGTTTTATTTCAGTGAACGATCTGCGATTAAGCCTCAAGGTAAGTTCGAAAATCCGATTGATTTCATCACAGCTTTATCGCTTTGGGATCTGGTATTTTCTCTCGTTTGATCTTTGGTGACGTCGCTTACTTGTGGTTTCTAATGCTAATTTTGTACAGTGGTTCTTTGTATGGTTATTTTATCTTATCCTTCTGTTTCTTACTTCCTTTTGGCTTCTTGCTCTCTTTCTCTCTCCGTCTGTCCGCATGTTTGCGTCATCTGGGCTTTCGGGGGCTCGGTTGTGCTATTGCAAAAATGCTGTAGACTGACCGATTGGACGGATGTACAGTTCTGGTGCATGATCTGCTTTCTGAAGTAGACATCGCTAAACCTGGGCAAATTCAATTGAACGAATTCCTCAGGGTAAGTTACCGTTCTTCATATTATTACTATTTTCGCTTAATAGCGTGAAGAAGGAAAGCGATACTCCGCTGAGCTCTTGCAAGCTCTTATCCGCGAAGCAGATTTGAATCAGAACGGTTTGATTGAATTGGACGAGTACCTTCAGGTATGAATTGTTGAATAAGTCCGCCTCTATTTTAAAATTTTTGAATTTTTCCTATCGTGTTTATTCGTGTGGGAAAATTG